CTTCTTCAAGTTATATTTTTAATACCCTGCAAAAATTTATAAAAAAGAAGCATTAAATGCTAAAAAATATAAATCTTACTTTAAAAAAAAAACTTTTTTTTTATTTTTTTAAGTAAATCAAAATTAAATAAATTTTTTTCATAAATTTACATATAAACTTGAGGTACATCAAGTCATTTGACCTATAATTACAACACTCAAGTGAAAATATTCTATGCTTGCTAATAATAATAAATATGAAAATAAATTAGATATAGCTTATGATGATGTTTCTTTTATCAAAATTGCTAATTATGTTATTAATAAGATTACTAATTTTAGAATAATAACATGTTACTTTTTAATCTTTATGTTGAACTTGATGATTTTGTATTAAATTCTACACAATATGAAGCAAAAAATGTAGTAAAGTTAATAGTAGATGAAATTGAAAAGTTTGATGAATATGACTGGGTTTTTACAATTGAATCTGAAATATTACTATCTTATTATAGAGTTGGTTTATTCTATCTTTTATACTCACAATGTTGGAAACTTAAGTATAAACATAAAGAATCTAACTAGAAAAGAATTATATATTTTAATTGCCATGATAAACTAACAATTCATATTGCTATATTAGCAAGAGAAACAATAGTAAAACTTTGTTATAGTTTTTAGTATAAGAAGCCTATTGATGTAACAACATCATTTGAAATAAAATATGAGGTTATGCAAAATTTTCACATGGATCCTATACAATTATGAGTACATCTTCATCAAACATTTAATGTTTTACTTATAACTAATAAACAAATATACTATTAGTGATCAACATATTGTTAGTATTTATATAAATTAAATAATAATCATATAATTTCTACTTGAAACTTTTTTAAATGACCTAATACTAAAACTAGTAAATATTGTTTTGACTGGAATACTAATTTAGTTATAGTTATTAGATTCATAACTTTTTTATTTGTTACATTGTTACCATTATTAAGTATGCATTGTGATGCAACTTACAAAACAGTTAAAAGCCATTTTGAACTTTATAAAATTATTAGAAATTTTGAAAGAACAGATTTTTCTATAACTTATCTTGCTTTAAATATTACAAAAGCATAAAATAATGAAGAACAATCAGAATTATGAATAATGACACTTACTGACTTTTTTTGTTTACTTTGTGATAAGAAGTTACAATTATAATATTTTTATACAAAGATTTTTTAAAAATCAATACTACAAATAAAGTGTGGTCTAATGTCAATATACAATTCTGTTTATAGTATATAGAGAAGGTTAGCATATTTTTAATATTTGTAATCTTTTTAATTATTTATAAATAACTTATTTATATAATTTAATATATAGTATATATGTATTGATTATAAGCAAAATTAAATTTAAATAAAAATTTACATATTAAATTTTTTTTTGTTTAATATGTATATATCATTAAAAATAAAGACTATTAAAGAAAAACTTAAAAGCAGTAAATGAATTTATCTTAACCAATATTATTCAGATATTGTAATATTAGAGTTTGATTTCATTAATCCTAAATTTAAATCTGATCTTAAATATATTGATCATAAGTATTATATTATATATCCACTATATTTACAAGATAAAGTTATAAATATAGTTAGCAAGTATTTTAATATGCATTTGAAAATTTTAATCAATACAATAGAGTAGTTTTTCACAGCTAGTGAAATTTTAAAAAATACAGTTCATGAAATTTATGAGTTTTGTATTAAGAATAAACTTATATTATTTTAGGCATATATGTAACAATTATGGTACAAAATAACAAAATGAGTACTTTGGGCCTGTTCAACATGGACTATAATTCTACTAAACAAAACTAATATGTTTGTTGAATCTTATTGAAGAATCATTAAGTATTATTATCTTTATAGGTTCAATCAACTACAATTAGATTATCTTTTTTGGATTATTTGTACATGCATAGTTCCTGATCAAATTGTTCATTTTAATTAAATATGTTTAAGATGAATAACACTTTCTTGGTTTATTGAATTTAAAAATAATTAGAAACAACTTTTAATGAGACCAATTGTTAGTAAAGATGAGAAACAGTATTTTGTAAACTTAAATCTTTAGTTTTGTAATTGTTCTGTATTTCTTTGTAATCATTTTCTTTTTTGTAAACATCTAGTTAATCATGCTGTTAATAAAGCAAGATTAACTGATTTACAAGATATTCAATTACTATATAACAATTTTCAATGATATGAAGATTATCCTTTTCTTATATATAATACCAAAAATTTACAGAATAAATCCATAGAAATAAGTATATCTCAATCTACAATTTCAAAGTCTGATGTTTTGGATGATGTGTTTTTTTGAAACAGATGAAGATAATAATATTTCTGACTTAAACACACATTCTGTTTGTGAACTCAAGGTAGCAATCATATGACGTATAGCAGAATACCTTGAACAAGAACTTACAGCCAATAACTTGTATCATGTTACATGGGTTGTTGATAATTTAGACCATCTGTTTACAATATTAGATGACATTGAAACAACACAACATAGATGATTACGAAGTTAAGCATGACGTGGATCAAAACCATGAACTTTATTTTTGCAATAAAACATATAAAGTTTTTTATATTTTATATAATTCAAGGTTTTTATATATAGTTAGTCAATTTAGAGTTTGTTATTGCAATGATATTTTTTATTAGAATAAAATTTATGGATTAATTTTTCAATAAATTTTATTAAAGTTTTATAGCTTTTGGTAAAATTATTCAGAAAACTTTATAAAATTGCAACAATATTACAACCAGTCTTTAAAATAAATAACTTTGTATAAAACGATTTATTATCATTATTAACATATATAGTGATTATTTTTCACTATGCGCATAAAAATTTCAACATTTTGTAAATAGAATGCACAGTTGTATGTATGCTAAATTTTGTTTCCAATGTATTTCCGGACTAGTCGAGCTAGTGATCATTATCGGATGATCACATGTACGGACAATTCCCCCCTACATTCTGATGCTGTTTTCTTTAAACGGGTCTGAAAATCAAACCCCACCAATAAAAAATTGAAAAGCATGATCATAAATTGCATACCGTATCATCCCGAAACGACGCCTCGGGACGTTATTTTGAAACATACACTTTAACCGAGGAAGAATAGTTTTATTTTTTTAAAATTTCAGCTAAATTAATTCCTAGTTCTCATGTGTTCCAAAATAACACCCTATAACGATAACGATACGGTATCGGCAAATTTTAACTGAATAATTGACTTTATATAGTAAAATTTGGATTACTCGAAAGAAAAAATTTTCTAAAGAAAGAATTCATTAAAAGGATGTAACATTGTACAGAACTTGTTAACGTCAAGTAAATTAACGTTAATACGTAAGTACGTACGTACATATGAAACACTGTTGGTTCGATCCAAGTTGCAATGAATGATTACTATAACACAATATAAATTGATTATGGATGTTGGGTTATTGTCCAAAGATATGTAAGTTTAATAATAATAATAATAATAATAATAATAATAAAATTTAGTACAGATAGGGTCCGGAAGCTGTAAAATAGTGTTTCACAATTGTACACAAGCCGAAATCAGTATGATAAACCCACTGGGCAGGAGGCCTTTAAAGTTAGGTGGAATCGGGTCTACGGGCCGGGCCCAGGCCCGGCCGACTTTACCCATCTGCCGATACATAACAATAACTCTTAAACTTGCTCAAGCTATTGAAAAAAATTCACACGGAAATATGCAGAATGCATATAGTGTCTAGGATTCTGCGGTGTCAGAATCTGTACTTTTAACCTGCAAGCAGAATAATAAATCAATATATATATGGTGATAAAGGTTATAATTTTATTTTTTTTTATAATGTATATATTATTTATAATTGATTATGCGTCATCCCCTAGAATCTGCAAATTTAACGGTTATTAAATAAAAAGTGTTTACGATTTCCAATTTTAAGATAATTCATCATTAACGTTATGTTCATTATAATTAACGTCATATTTTTTACGAAAATCACTTTATTTAAAACAGATTAGTCCACGTTGGATTAAGCATTAGCAAATTTATCTCGGGATTTTGTCATTTTTTGAAGAGTTTTAGTCCGCATTAAGTTAAACCATTAGCGTTAGCATTAACCGATTTGTACTGGATTTTGTTTTGTCGAAGTTCTTGTCCTAGGCTTTGGCAATATCGGCACATAATTATCTTAAAGTTAATAAAATTGAAACCGCAAATAACTTTTCCCGCACTAATGTATGTTTTTGTGTATTTAATAAAAATGTCGGGTATATCTATTATTGAATTTTATATTTACCGCCATTCGATCTATTGCTACCCCAGATCTATGAAAGTCAAAATCCCGAAACTATATTCAAACCCCACTTATGATTAGTAATTATTATTACTAATCATATAATTATACGCGGGGTTTGAATATTGGAACCCGGCATCACACGATACGACAATTATGTAGGTTTCAGAGGGTAGCGTTGCATCGCTATGGCGTTAAAAGTCTAAAATCCTTTAATTAATATTAGGGTTAGGACCTTTTTCGAGGTTATAGTAATATTTCAAAATTCGCTCCGCTTTATCCGATACTGCGTGTGAATAAAAATCATTATGCTTAATTTATATTACGTATAAAATATTAATTAATTAATATGTATAAAATTAGATAATTATAATTCTACTATACACCTGTATATAATTATAGAATATACGTATACTTAAATACATATTCAATTAGCCACACTCATAACTATTTTCACGGTTATTATATGCCTTAATGAATTAGGTCTTCATTATCAACTTGACACTCCTGCTGATTTTCCTGTTGATACAAAAACCGAGGACTATCTTGCCAATAAACACCCTTTGTAAGTATAAGTGAACTGATACATGAGCTCATTATAACCTCGGTTGGATTATAATGAGCTAACAACCACTGCTTTCTTAACGTTTATTGCTTGTTTTTTAGATATTATAATTATTAAATTGTTATAACATTGATTATAGCGGAAAAGTTCCGGTTCTTTTTGATGGAGACGTTAAAATTACTGAATCTCGTGCAATTTGTCATCGAAATATCAAGGTCAACATAATAATACAATCTTGATCCCTAACGATGTTCATAAGGCCAGATTAGTAGATCAATTTATTTCTTATCAATCATTTTACTATGAGCCACCGGTCACACAACTCTTATAACAAGAACCAACTTTTAAACAATATCATGGTAAAGACTCGGATCCTGAAATTGCTAAGTGAGCTCGTGAAGAAATTGCCAAGGTTTTAGATGTTTATGATTTCATTATCCTAGTACTTATTATTGCTATGCTTTGCCAATCATTCTGATTTATGGGATAAAAGACCTAATGTTAAAAAATGGTGGGAGAGATTAATGAATAGAGATGCTTGGAATAAATCTTTAGAAGATGTTAAAGATTAATTTATTTTCAGAAAATTAGTTTATTTATTATTCACTTTTAATTAGCATTTTCACCCTTCATTTGCTTTATAATTGGTTTTATAGAGTAGTACTATTCTTAAGAAGTTGCACACGTTATTATGGCAGCGCAATGATGGTGATGATATTATATATTATAAAATATTGTACCAATTTTTTATATCATTATTAAATATAAAACATATTACATCTAAAAATTATACCGCGTTCATAAATCATTTTAAACTGCTTAATGTTTGATGAAGATAATCTTTTAACCCTAGGGTATATAGAATTTATTTTATATATACTTATTACGCCCTAATCCTAAAATCCCCAAAAGTACCAAATCCACTTAAATTCTGTTCCTACTTAAAATGGTTATCATTTAAAGCACGTGTTCATTACCTAGAGATTTCCAGCACTCATAAAATTTACTAATGGAAATTGTCAGTAATTACACACGTTACGTATGAAATTTAGTATGTTATATTAGCTGTATGCAAGTAAAAGGGGGTATTACGATGCAAGACCAATTATGATGCACCTGCGATAACTCGGAATTCGGGAATTCGTGCGGTCAGAATCATACTTTTAATTTTACCATTACCTTTTCCCTTATCGTTATATCTTGTCAGTAAATTGTCACATAGAGTGATGCCGGCTAAAAAACCCGTCAATGAATTGATTTTTAGTGGGCTAGTGTATTACATCATATATGATTAATTAGGTTAATGTTCATTTTGATTGTGATTTCCATATTAATGATTAATCAAGAGTAAAAGGTTATTGATTATTGTTTAGTTAGAATAAAAGATAAAAAAGAAGTTGTTATACTATATCGATATGGTATATTCTAAAGGGTATAAAACAACTTTACTCATCATCTGTTAAGTTATAATAATAAAGCGAGTTACAATCCAATTATGTTATCTCATTTATAAATATGCACGTAACAAACGAATGCACCGATCGGTTGTTAATTATCGGAAAATGACCGTTCCGAACAGGACTTTACACCTGTTTGTTTAACAATTTGATTAATAATTAACTTTCTACGTATGCCGTTCTACGTACATATGCTCATACTAGATTACGTTAGTAATGATTACTAACCGAATAGAAAAATTTAGAAGAAAAATTATTTAGTACGTAATCCAAATAAAGGCCAAACCTCATTTAGGTATAAATGAAGATGCAAAAACGCTTAAATACACGTCCATTTCGCCTTTCTCATCTTTAGACAATCTTTCAATCATATTTAGTATAAATACACAATATTTAGTATTGAAAAAAACGAAAAAATGTCTATCAAGCTTATTGGATTTCCTGCCTCAGGACCTTTACTTAAAGTTATTATAACCCTGAGGGAATTAGGTCTTCCTTACGAACTCGAAATTCCATCTAATATTCAAGCTATAAAAGAAGAAGATTATATCAAGAACAAGCACCCATTGTAAATATTATCTATTACATGTCTTAATTTTTATATGTACATTAATTAGATTACTAACAACTTATAAAATTATAATAACAGTGGAAAAATTCCAGTCCTTATTGATGGTGATTTTGTAATTAACGAATCTCGTCCAATTTGTACTTACCTGGTATCTAAATACCAAGGCAAACATAACAATACGAACTTGATTCCTACCGATGTTCACAAGGCAGGTTTAGTCGGGCAATACGTTTCTTACGAATCATCTTATTATGACCCACCGATCTCAAAAATCGTATATCAAGAAATATATGCTAGAAAATTTCAAAATAAGGACCCGGACCCCGAAGTTATTAAGCAAGCTCGTGAAGAACTTGCCAAGGTCTTAGATGTTTATGAAAAGATTTTAGAAGGAAAAGAATATTTGAATGGCGAATATTCTATAGCTGATCTTTTCCACATCCCTTCTACTCATTATGTCTATAGTATTGACGCACATTCCGATTTATGGGATAGCAGGCCTAATGTTAAAAATTGGTGGAATAGGTTGTGCAATAGAGAAGCCGTTAAGAAAACTATTGATGAGATCGCAAAATAATTTTACAGATTATTTTTATTTAGCATTTATGCTCTTATTTTTTTTGTATTTAGCATTTACGCTCTTATTTTTTTATTTATTTAGTATTTACGCTTTTTTTTTTTTTCTTGCTTTATGAATTTATCTGTTAAAACTGGCAAAAAATTGGTCTAGATTAATAAATTCTTGTCGATTACATTAAACAATCATCAAATATATCTTTTTTCTTGTGAAATAATTCCCTTATCGCGTTGATGTAGGTTATTTGCAATAATATTATCATAAAACATTGTACTAAGTTTTTAAATCATTAAATATAAAACAGTATAGATCCAGAAAAAAAAAATCGCTGCGTTCATGAATAATTTTAAAACTGCTTAATGTTATTGATAAAGATAATCTTTAATCCTATATTATTAATTATTTAGTAAAACGAAAGTAAACTACAAATGTCTGTATTTTTGTCAAAATATATCTGCTATCTCTGAAATGATCCTAACAAGTAATTTAATGTTAATCTTATAATTAAATTATAACTATATACCGTAAAATATCGTGCAAAGTCTTGGGTATTTACATTCACATAATAACAAACCTTTGATTTATACCTCGGGTATATTGTATGACAATCTGATATTAAAAAAAAAAAAATTTTTTTTATTGTTACATTGTTAAAATCGGATATTGATTTATACTCTGATCTTTTACAAATCAGGAGTTATAAATCAAAGGAAGTACAGAAGGTATCTTGCTCAATTTATTTTTTTTCATAACGTACTAATATCTGGTATTACGAATAGTAGTAGAGTATGGTTTAGTAAAGTAGTGGAGTATACTGCCAAAATCGCATTTTGAGTATATAAAACTTGCATGGCATGCTATATTCATCATACATAAAATAGTATAGTCGTAAAAAACGGGGATGTTACACGACTGATCCTTCACCTGGTATGCAACATATAAAAAATTATTTTACAATACAGATAGACTTTTACATGATCGCTTTAACAAAATCAAGATTTTTACAAACTTGAACGTCCATTCCTTTAATAAATCATCAGTAATTGATCCGAATAGTGTATTTGCACTAAGGCATGATGTATTTTGAATCACTAGTAGATCTAAATAAATCATTAGAAATCGATCTCAATAACGAATTCGCGTTAGAAAGCTGTGAAGAAACTTATTAGAGATCGATCCAAAAAACATGGAATCCTATCACATGCGTATATATAAGAATCTCTTGTAGATTTAGATAAAACATTAAAAGTGAACAAAATAATCTATTTGCACTGAATAGACAAGAACTAACTTGTAGAATAATGTTTTTTCTGAAACAACCGATGTTGATCAATGATAATTCAGTAAGCTTTTATTTTTATAGCCAATGTTTTAAACCAGTCAGAATTAAGAACAGCCGTAAGTGTTATTTGCTATGCTGTATATAATAATATTCAACTAAGCTGTCTAAATTTAATTAAAATTATCGACTTAACTATGCTTATAAAAATTTTATCGACTTAACTATGCTTATAAAAATTTTATCGACTGCAACTATTGGGCCTTTAATTCGAGTGAAGATCGAGAAATTTCTCAAGAAAATAAGTCTGCAGAAAAATCTATAAATATATAGTTGGTATTAAACTTTCCTTGGAGAACCTATTTTTCAAAAAAAAAAAATTTCTCTTTATTAGTATTAAAAAAATTTCCTTCGTCGAAAAACTCCTCACTTGAACTAACATCATTTGAAGATATTCGAATCGTTTTACATCACGTTTGTATAAATTTTATATACATTTGCATACTATTGACAGCTCTATACGGCGAGTCAGTCACTCCACAATCGGGTACATCTTGTAACCTACGAATGGGCTTAGGCGGTTCTTATTTCGCGAGTGGAGTTAAGGTCGTAGGTATGGCTTCTTTACTTGTATAGGGAACCGAATAATACACAATTACGCTTATACTTTCTATCCTCAATAATTTCAACAAAACCACGGCTGGGAACTTCCCCTTGGACCTCAAACCGGAATACAATAACCACAACTGTAGTGATCCAAATCGTTAGTTGAAAAACCAACTAGTTGACAACTTTCCAACTAATCTATTAGGAAAGTTACAACTGGTCAATTAAATCATCAACTAGTCAAATTCCGAGATATTCCATCTATTCGGGCTGGCTCGTTTTGATTTCTTTAGTTTTGATTGGCCAATCAACAAATTTAGTCACATGATAGGAAAATCGATTAGTAGTTGGCAGTTGATCGGGATGTAAGCATTGAAGTATAACGTAAGGGAATTATGTAATTATTAAGAGCCGAATTTATTTGAATCACGAACGATTATTTTCTTATAGGGCGAAACGCCTTTATTATATACTAATTTTTACCCTTAATACCAGATTCCCTTATTACACTGATATCCCATTTTAGGGGTCGGTTAAAGCGGAGCGAGTTCAGTATATGATCTACATACTGCAAAAATTGCATTCTTGATATCAATATAACCTCCAAACCAAAACTGCATCAAAAAGGTAACTCTAAACTCATTCACTTTAACCTACCCGCATTTAAGTAAATGATCAACATAGCTGTTAATTCGTTACTGTGCCACATCGGTCACCTCCTTCCACGTGCTTTCGGGATTACAGTCCTGCGGCTCACACTATACACTATATATTACTTTATACTCGGTTGCGACCTCACCAACCATACACACATGTTTGTTAATTTAACGTATTATACTCCACTAAACCATACTCTACCACTATTCGTATTACTCTATAATATATCCCCTGCCATACAATATACCTGGGGTATAAATCAAAGTTCGTTGTTACATGAAATTAAAGATGGAACTTTTATATCTGACGATCTGGATAATTCGAATATTTCAGATAAACCGAATTATCCAGCTATCTGATTGTCCGGAGCGTAGCGGAGGATACACGTCAGGCTTTGATCGACACCTTCACGTGCATTCTACCTGTTTGCTTTCGCATCCCTGATTGGCTGTACATCACGAGCTTATCATATCGAATTAAAATTTAATAATACTGCATTTTAGAAATTTATCACTATCGCTATAACGATAATAGAGTAAGTTGTAATTATTCACCTTCCTACACAAAAACAAAATTTTATCCTTCGGACTCATAACGGTTCCCGTTTTCCTAGCAGTATAAGATCGTGCTTTATGTAAGTTATCATTGGCAAAATGAGTTTTTATTCGGACTTGTCATAATGATGAGAGAGATAACATCCATGATCGAAAGTATCTGCATGATAATAGTTCTGTATGTCGTAAATAATCTAATGTTAAAGTTAAATAAAGAAAAGTTTTGTGACTGAAAATAGATATACAGCCATTATAATGAGTCATTATCATGCTGTTCAGTATATATAATTATTTAACCAGTGATTTCAAAAAATATAACAAAAAGATTCTTTGTAACCAGTTTATTCAAGCTTGCAGCTTGAAAGATATTAATATAAGTGACGCCAAATAAACAAAATCAGTAAGTATAAAAATAGATTTCTTTATATGATGGAATACGGGCTTTTAATCGATCCAACTATAGTAATCGTAAAATATCCTTTATTTTTAGGCTTCCTGGTTTTCACTTGGCAACGCTCATGATTGATACAGAAATCATAAGCAATTGGTCGTAGGTCGAATCCCTATTGCAGCTTGCTTCACCGACATTTAGCCGATCTCACGTACGTGACAATTTAGCATGTTATTATTAGGTGTATATATTTCATAGGCAGAAGTTTGTCTGATTGGCTAATAAATTCGGTTTATTTTTACATTATTTATACAGTTTAGAGTACTTTTTTTTAAAAAAGACGAAAACTAGCCATAATAAAGTAAAAAAAATAAAATCCATATATAAGAGCTGTAGGACTCTATAGCCAAAAATAAGAACTAATTCTCGTCCGTTTAAAAAAGGTAGTATAGTAATAACTTCTCAAAACCCAATAAAATCAACTTATTACTAAGCTAATTTTTTTTTAAACGAACGAGAATTAGATCTTATTTTTGACTATCGGAGTCCTACAGCTCTAATGAAACCTTCTATGTGGGTTTTTTTTTTACCTTATTATGGTTGGTTTTCGTTTTTTTTTTTTTAAAAAAAAGTACTTTAAACTGTATAAATAATGTAAAATTAAATTGATTTATTAGCCAATCAGACGAACATCCGCCTATGAGTATATATTACCAGTAAATTTTCATATTGCGTGACATCGGCTAAATAACCCATTCATTGTTGGAGTAAGACGAATACGGACCAGGTATTACGACCTGGACTTATACAAAATGACTAATTGACTAATTAGGATAATTAACGTTAAGGTTAATTAACCAATATATGCTTAGTTGTGATTTCTATATTAGTGATTAAGCGAATGTTATAATTATGAGTAAAGGGGTCATGAGTATTTACGTAGATAAAAGGCGTTGGTATACATCAATGGCATAAAAATTTAGCCTGCCATGTTTTACGATTAAATTGTTTCATCTACATCTATTTAGTTAATTATCGGACAGGATTCATTAAGTGATTGTTCTGAACAGGATTTTACACCTGTTTGTTTAAATAATAATCGAATTTTCCTACATAGTATGTACATTATACCAGATTGCATTAATAATCAAAATAAGGACCAAGCCTCATTTAAAAGTGAATACACGAAACGCTTAAATACACATCTTCTCATCTTTAGACAATCTTTGGTATTAAAAAATGACCATCAAACTCATTGGATATGCTGCCTCAGGTCCTACCACTAAAGTTATTATAACCCTTAAGGAATTAGGTATTCCTTACGAACTCGACCCTCCAGCTACTTATCAATCTCTAAAGGATGATGATTATATCAAGAATAAGCATCCATTGTAAACATTATCTATTACATGTCTTAGATGTCCATATATACAGTAATTAGATTACTAACAAATTATCAATTATAATACCAGTGGAAAAATGCCAGTCCTTTTCGATGGTGATTTTAGAATTACCGAATCTCGTGCAATTTGTCGTTACTTAGCATCTAAATACCAAGGCAAATATAATGATACGATCTTGCTTCCTAACGATGTTCACCAGGCCAGCCTAGTCGATCAGTACATTTCTTATGAATCATTTTACTATGACCCACCACTTTCAAAAATTGTATATCAAGAAAAAGTCGCTAAAAAATTCTTTGATAAAGACCCAGATCTCGAAGTTATTAAAGAAAATCGTGAAGAACTTGCTAAAGTTTTAGATGTTTTTGAGAAGCTTTTAGAAGGAAAAGAATATTTGAATGGCGAATGTTCTTTAGCTGATCTTTTTATCTGTCCCAATACTTATCATGTCTATTGTATTGATGCACATTCTGATTTATGGGATAGTAGGCCTAATGTTAAAAATTGGTGGAATAGGTTGTGTAATAGGGATTCCGTTAAGACAACTTTTGAAGAAATCAAAAGTTTTTGGGAAAATAATTAGTTTACAGATTATTTATTTGTCATTCTCCTTTTGCTTTGTAAATTTACCTGTTGAGACTGGCAAAAATTGATCCATATTAATAAATTCTTGTTTATACAATAATAAATATAACATTCTTGAGAAAACATTTTCTTATTGCATACGTTAGTATGACAACTCAATGAAAGAGACTTTTATTTATGTACTTGCAAAAATTATTACAATACTACATATCGATACAGCAACTTTTTATATCATAGATATATAAAGTACGTATATATTGTATAAAACCTTTTATATCCAAACAATATTCGAACAATAAGTGTCTTGCCCCTCTGAACTTTTTACGCAAAATTAATCGTAAAAAACTTTCGAAAATTGATCCGGCAACCCGACTTTCAATTTCACTTACGTATACTGTATCTTCATTATTTTCAATATAAATGCTATTTTTATTAAAAAGATTCATTATAAAATAACTGTTGTGTAATATGTATAACCAATAAATTTACGTCAACTATTAAACGTAAGCTATATCGATATCCGATAGTCATGTTCCTGAATCCTTGACCAAAATGCCTCTTGAAAGATTTACATAATGTGGTATTGTGTCTTTAATAATAATTGATCTCAAAAACTTTTCAAGTTACTATTTTCGATTTTAAATTACCTAATACATTTTCCCACAGTCATTCAAAAAAAATAAATATCTGTTGCTTTGGTAAATGATTTTCCCTGTAAACTTTTCGGGACTATATATAGTATATAAGCTTTATCGTTATAACTTCATCGATGCTTTAAATTTTTATTAATTGATTGCAAATCCAGTGCAAAATTTTATATAAAATTTAAATACATTTTTAAGCTAACTCTAATCTTAAAAAATTTTACAAAATATTATATATTTTTTAGAAAAATTCATATAATAATAATTGATAAAATTAGTCAATCAAATTGATGTATAGTTGATAGTTACCATATTTATACTTCATAAATTAAAATTTCAGACCTAGTTGCAATATCAAGCTAATAATATAATATATATAGTTGATGATACATCTACAAGAAAACCTGCAAGAAACATATACAATCAAACTATAGACCATACCAAATATGGAAATACAACTAAAAATAATATATAGTAAACTGTAAATTAATAATCTGAATCTTGATAAATCTAACTATGCCAACAAAATATTAGAAAGTATGTTAAGCTATATACACCAAATTAGTAACAACAAGAATAAGAAACTGTTAGAATTAACTAATCTGTGAGAAGAAAATATTACTGCAAATAGTAGACAGATGAGCTATATTCAGTTGAGTAATAGAAAGTTATAATATAACAAGGTAACTACAGCCTTACTAGTAACTAATAATAAGAATTAAATTACATAGCAACCATTATAAAATATATAAAAAATATAAATGTAATATTATGTTGGATAACTATAGCTAAAAGTAATATAATAACACAAATATAATGTAACTATATATGTAATAATAATGCAAAAAATTAATAAAATTGGCATTATAAATAAATAAATAAATAGTAATATTAGTTTGAAAAAATTTTGCATATTAGATTATATCAATTTAATAAATTAATTTTTTATAATATATATTTCTAAAAGTAATTCAACTTTTAATTTTCTTTTCAAAAAATTATATTAAAAAACAAAATTTTTATAAATTTTTTTTAAAAAAACTCATACAGATAGTAAGTATACTTGAAAATTTTTCTTGAAGTTTTGTAAATTTTGTCCTAGCTAAATTATAAAAACTGATTTATTAAGTTTGTACGACCTTATATGCTACTATTAAAAAAATTTTTGCTAAAAAAACAATTAATTTTTAGGTTATATGGGCTGCCGTCAATAGAAATCAAGCAGATCTACATTTGAAAAAAATCAATGCCTTAACTTTCACAGCTCATGTCTCGATGAATTTTAAAGCTATCTTGATGATTTAATATTTAAAAGCAAGCTTACGACCTATGCTTTCTTTTGAATATTAAATCACCAAGATAGCCTTAAAATTCATCGAGGTATGAGCTGTGAAAGTTAAGGCATTGATTTTTTTCAAACGTAGATCTGCCTGATTTCTATGGATAGCAGCCCATATTTAGAGTATTGCTAGTGTGTTGAGTTTAGAAAGCTATGTTTATACTAAAATTTTGTAAGAAAACTTTTTATTAGTAAACAGAAGGCAGTTGCATGGGCAAAATTTTAAGTTATAGGTAATTTTTGACTTATTTTTTTTTTGAACTTTTTTTATGTTGCATCTAATCTAAAAATCTAATTGGCTAGCAAAATTTTTTAGACTGGTATTTTAAATACAGGCCAATTAACGTTAAAGTTAATTAACCAATTGTGGTTTCCATATTAGTGATTAAGTGAAATGAGATATGAGTATTTGCGTAGAATAAATTGCGCTGAGTATACTATTAATGGCATAAAAATCTTGCCTGTCATGTGTTACGATCCAATTGTATCATCTGCATCGGTTGCTTCTATTTGGTTAATTATCGGACAAGATTCATTAAGTGATTGTTCTGAACAGCTTTAGACTTGTTTGTTTAAATATTAATTGAATTTTTCCATGCCGTTCTACATGTACGTACGCATATTATGCCAGATTGCATTAATAATCAGAAATAAGGGCCAAGCCTCATTTAAAAGTGAATACACGAAACGCTTAAATACACATCTCTCATCTTTAGACAATCTTTGGTATTAAAAAAATCTTCCATCTTTAGACAATCTTTGGTATTAAAAAATGACTATCAAACTCATCGGATATCCTGCCTTAGGTCCTACCACTAAAGTTATTATAACCCTTAAGGAATTAGGTATTCCTTACGAACTCGACCCTCCAGCTAGTTTTCAATCTCTAAAGGATGATGATTATATCAAGAATAAGCATCCATTGTAAACATTATCTATTACATGTCTTAGATGTTCATGTATATAGTAATTAGATTACTAACAAATTATAAAATTATAATAACAGTGGAAAAATACCAGTCCTTTTCGATGGTGATTTTAGAATTACCGAATCTCGTGCAATTTGTCGTTACTTAGCATCTAAATACCAAGGCAAATATAATGATACGATCTTGCTTCCTAACGATGTTCACCAGGCCAGCCTAGTCGATCAGTACATTTCTTATGAATCATTTTACTATGACCCACCACTTTCAAAAATTGTATATCAAGAAAAAGTCGCTAAAAAATTCTTTGATAAAGACCCAGATCTCGAAGTTATTAAAGAAAATCGTGAAGAACTTGCTAAAGTTTTAGATGTTTTTGAGAAGCTTTTAGAAGGAAAAGAATATTTGAATGGCGAATATTCTTTGGCTGATCTCTTTATATGTCCCAATACTAATTATGTTTATTGTATTGACACACATTCCGATTTATGGGATAGTAGGCCTAATGTTAAAAATTGGTGGAATAGGTTGTGTAATAGGGATTCTATTAAGACAACTTTTGAAGAAATCAAAAGTTTTTGGGAAAATAATTAGTTTACAGATTGTTTATTTGTCGTTCTTCTTTTGCTTTGTAAAGTTACCTGTTGAAACTGGCAAAAATTGATCCATATTAATAAAATTCTTGTTCATACAATAATAAATATAACATTCTTGAGAAAACATTTCTTATTGCATACGTTAGTATGACAACTCAATGAAAGAGACTTTTATTTATGTACTTGCAAAAATTATTACAATACTACATATCGATACAGCAACTTTTTATATCAAAGATATATAAAGTATATATACTGTATAAACCTTTTATATCAAAAGTAAAATATGCTAGGTTCATAAATAATTGAAAAAAATATTCTTTAATCCCATGTTATTAATCATTTAGTAGACTAAACACCCTTTGTAAGTTTGCTTGCTCAAATTCCTCTGGTTGGCTATTTTATTTTTTCATATAACAAAGCATATAATTATTAAAAATTATGATATTAATTATAGTGGAAAAGTGAGTCCTTTACGTTTATGATTTTAAAATTACCGAATCTCGTGCAATCTGTCGTTATCTTAATCTATGTATCAAGGCAAATATAATAATACAATTTTAGTCACTCACGATATCCGCGAAGTCGGTTTAGTTGAACAATTCATATCTTATGAATCATCTTATGATGATACACCAGTCTCAAAAATTGTGTTTCAAGAGTTATATGTGAATTATATAGGTAGCACTTTGGATCCTGCAATAATTAAGCAAGACCGTGAAAAACTGATGAAGTTTTGAATATTTATGATAAGCTTTTAGAAGGAAAAGAAATATTTAAATGGAAAATTCTCTTTAGCTGATTTCTTCCATTATCCAATACTCATTACGCCCACATTGCCATTTATGGGATAAAAAAAACCTAATGTTAAAAAATGATGGGATAGGTTGATGCTTGGAAAAAATCTTTGGAAGATATTAAAAAATAATGTTAAAAAAAATTAAAATTAGTGCATACGTATACTGAGATTAGGTCTACTTTTAGTACAATCGACCCCCGTTAGTTTCAACCTCGTTAATATCAACCTAAGCCACAAATCAAATTTTTAATATAATTTCTCGTTAATATCACTATCAACATAATTTGAAACCAATCCAAATGGGTTGATATAAACGAGGGTAGACTGTACTCCACAAAATCAAGTCAAAATCTGAATTTGAATCAAATATTTGAATGAAATTCAAATTTTGACTTGATATTGCGGAGTACTGTCTATTTTTCACTATTTTCGTTTATTAAATTAAGAATTCGTCCATGTAAAAATCTTAAATGGTAGATCGCAGTTGAAGGGTATAAATGTTGGAATGCCGAAAGTTTCTGGAGAAAATGCCAATAGCTCGCGATCTACCGAACCAATTTGAATAATTCCACCACTATTAGAACCGGAATGACTTGCTATATAACCTTTGTTAGAAACTCAAGGAAGATTTACTTGGCATGAAAAAATTTTTCATTGTAAGCTAGCTGCATTCCAACCCTATAGAAAAACCATATCAACTTCTGGTAATTTTTACTATTAAATTCGTTATTTTTATACCCTTGAATCACGATTTACCTCTTAAATTTACATGATATAATACACTCTAGTTATACTGACAACCGGATTAACCAATAATTTTTCAAAAAAAAAATCTATCATATTAAAATTTCATTGATTATATCGACAACCATAAGAGATATTAAATTTTACCAATTTTTATTATTGATAATTAAATTATATAATTTTTTATTAACAGATAATACTGTATTTTATGGATCCCTGTTAGATTTTGCAGATATTTTAATAATGCATATTGGATTTGCATCACTATAGACAATTGTCATTATAATTATTATAACAATTGTCATTATGTCATCATTACAACAATTACTATTATCAAGTAGTTGTTTACAATTTAAATTAAAACAGAGTATTTGTTATTTCACTATTACATTTGTTGTATATAATTTAGAAGATAATATATTTTGTTTATTTTATCTAAGATATAATCTTTATTTTAGTAATTGTAATAAAAGAGATTTGTGAGAACAAATAAATTTTGTTATTTATTAAACAGTGAATTTTGTCTTTTTATAAGAACAAACAGATCATTTTGTAATGTTTTTTAGTTATATTTATGAGAACAAATAAATCATTTTATAATAAATATTATATATATATAATATAAAAATGATCTTTTTTTTTAAAAAAAAAAAATAATTTTATATAATAAAAGTATTTCTAAAACATGTATAACAAAAAAATCAAAAAGAAAATAGAATGCTTATAAAAAATTAAACATTATTACTTATTATAAACAAAATAAAATAAAACTAAGTATTAATAAAATATGTAAAGTTTTTAATATTCAATTAAATCAATTATATGACTAGATAAATAAAAAGATGAATTAATTAAAACCTTATCAAAAATATTTAAGTTATATAATAAACACCCATCTTATTATTCACATATTGAAACAGTTTTATTTAATTAGATTATGAATCAATATTAATTACAAAATACTATTACTAAAGAGATAATAATTACAAAAGAAATTTTATTTATAGATCAATTAAATTTTCAATCATTTAAAACATCAAGTAACTGATGTAATAGTTTCTTGAATCATCAAACTTATCATTTCAATAATAAACAACTGTTTTATAAAAACTATCTAAATATTAGAAAAACAACAACAAAATTTTCTTAATTATATTTTAAATCTATGAATTTATTACAATTATTTCTTATATTTAATAAGAAATATAAATAAAACTCCTTTCATATTTGATTCACCAAACCCATCAACAATTAAGACTTAAGAAAACTATATTATTAGTATTAGAACTACTAGTTATAAAAAAAATTTTACAATTATTCTTGTATGTCTAATTGATAAAACAAAACTATCACCTATATACATTTTTAAAAGAAAAACCTTGACTCAAGAGAATTTTTTTCATAATATTTTTGTTCAGATAAATGAAAAAGATTAAGTTAATGAAACTGAAATATTATGATAGATCAAAAACATTTAAACTAAAAGAACATCTAACAATCCATGATCTCTTTTAATACTTGACTCCTTTTGTGTACATTTAATGGATCCAGTTAAAGAATGTTTGCTTATTCATAATATAAATATGGTTGTGATTCCTAGTGAACTTACATCTAAATTACAACCACTAGATGTTAGTATTAATAAAAAGTTTCAAGTCAAAAATCCAAGTACTTTATAATCATTGGATGCCAAAAACAATTTATGAATTAACTCCTTCAGGACGTATTAAGAGACCATCATATTCACTACTTGCCTCGTGGGCGAGAGTTGCCTGGGATTCACTTGAACCAAGTTTAATTAAACATTCGTTTGACTGTTGTAAAATTCGAATTTTTTTTTTGTCGTTTTTTGTCAGTATTGTTACACATAAATAAACTCTCATATGTACCATTTAAATATCTGCATAACCGATAATTATTTTATGACAGGGGGTGGTTTGGCCCATAAAACATGGTAGTATAAAATGAATTTGCTTTATGCTAAGCTTAACATATAATGAAATTGTTTTAACGTACGTATAATGAAATCATTTTTTATTATGTTTGGTATCTAATACGTATGTGAGTTCGTTTTATGCTAGTTTTAGCATGAATCAAATTCTTTTTATGATATGTTTAACATAAAATGACTTCATTATATATTAAGCATAAAGACGAATTCATGTTAAACATAAGACGAATTCATGTTAACATAAGATGAATTCATTTTATGTTAAATATAATTTGTTTTGTACTACGTAAAATGAAGTCATTTTGCCATGTTTTATTATTCTTAGCATGAAAACAAAAAATGTATCTCCGCCTAAATCGACACATTTAATATAACATCGGTATAAGTTAGAGATGCATCTGGATATATCGATAATTTTTTCGATGCTGGAGAGTGTCGATATAACCAGAGTGACGTGTAGTATCATGGATTTATATTGATGCACAAACAAATACGCTTCTTGAAAAGTCACTATCCTGTAACCAGGGTCAGCATTAAAGTTTAGATGAATAGGGTATTCCCAATCTTAGTTCTACAAGATGGTGCACTAAATTTTTTTGTGAAGCTTTATATTGACATCATTATATATAAATATTTATTATTATAAATAAAAATATAAGCCTTTACAAAATTTTTATCACAATATAATTAAGTTTGAACAATTCTATTATCAAATGGAATGAATACCCAACAATACAAAAATACCAATCACACCGCTAGCGAACATTAAATATAAACCAATACCATTTATGACATGTGAATTAGATGACGACGTTGTCGCACTACCCGAAGGCTTAGGTGCACTCGAAGTAGTCGCCACAGAAGTTTTCGGTGGTGAGGCTGTTTTTGGTTGTGTATGTTGTGATGTAGTATCTACAGCTGGTTGATTCGTTGCTTGACTATGCGGCAGCATAGCTTCTGCTGGATTGGGTGGTGCTTTCATGTTATTTTCTCCACCAGGCGTAGAAGGTTGGGGCGCATTTTTTGATGCTCCGCCGAGTTTTTTGCTAGGAAACGAATGAGGAAAAGATCCTGCATTCGGCATCTCGGGGAGATTTTGTGCACTTTGTCCATTAACCAAACATACAATATAGAAAAGTGACATTAAGACAAAAAGGTATTTTTGATTATCCATTACTGCGCTTTCGTTAAGTTGGAACTTTAAAAAATGGAATATCTTTGAGAGCAATTAATTCGTATTAACGAATGATACTTATAGGTTTTAAATAAGGCACTAGCACACATAAATTATAGCAAGATCAATCAAGATGGTTAAAAATAACCAAAAAGATTGTAAAATTATCATGCCGATGAATTTATATCATTGATAAAGAGAAATGTTAAGTTTATTCGTCATATCTTTTTAAAAATCTTGTTGGTAAAATGATTGATGAAAATAACTGAAATTTTAAGTTGCTGGAATATTATAACTATTATGTAAATTCTTCATATCTGTGTATTATGGTAATCGAATATTGTGCCAAGTCATTTAACAATATCAACATTGATATTTGGATAAACTTTTCTATTGCCGTTACGATTCTAAAGAATCATGTCTTGCTAATATAT